ATGGCAGCCATGGTTTGAACTTTCTTGGAAATTGTGTCATAGAATCCACCAGGTAATATCTTTTGAAATTCATGCATCTGTCTAGTATAGATGTCAACTGCTTTATCCACATTCACTGACGTTGGAGCAATGCTGGTCTAAATAAAGCCTATCAATTGAATAATAATGTGTGCCGTAAAACCACTTCTCACCGATTTGATGAAAAATGAATTCTTTCATAGCCATTTTTTTTCTTGACATATGTAGGGTAGGTGTAGGGAATTGGAGACCACCAAGCTTGAACCCATCACTGTCTGTCTGTGTTGGCTCCAATATTGATATAGCGACATATGTGGCCTTAAACAACACTTCTGCATATATCCAATTCATTTCGAAGACTACAATGCGTTCTCTCTCCGAGAAAATTGGCAAAATTGACCAAGATATTAGCAATTTTGATCGTAAAAATTTGCTCTGATATAAAAACACAATTTTCACTGAATGTTGTGGTGTATGCAGATATTTAGGGGTGGCTCTTAAAAATTAGTTTTAAAAGGAAGTTTATGAAATGTGCCAACCATCACAGAAAGCTTATGGCCATTGTATGTTGTGAATGGGTGTTGCAATTCACATTATGAATGGTGTCTGATCAGAAATGTGTGTAGGTAATTGGGGACACCAGGTCCAAGATGGGGGCCTACTTCTCCCCAGTTGTCCATTTCATGTTGAAAGGCACTATCATGAAACATATTTGGTCGTACGTGTCACCATTCTAATTTGAATGCATTCAATTTTAAGAAGTTGTTTCTATGCTGTAAGTTTGATCAATGTAAAAGTCATATTGCCAGAACATTATTCTGAAAGTATTTTAACATAATTGAGAGCACCTTTATTACTGTAAACAAAAACTACAGAAATATTTTGGGCCACATTGTTTTAAAATCGTTTCAAAATTTCAGTAAGTTTATTGGCTCCATATATCTCTTTCAAAAAATGTTTGAACTAACTATAACAATCCCATTTTCATTCAAATTGTATTTAAAATGTCTTGATTTGTAACTGTCCCTTATTACCTACACATGTAGGTAATGAGAGACCTTTGGTGATGACGTCATTAATCATTGTTATCTTATTAATCAGTTACATCATGACCACAATTTCGTTACAAAATAAAGAGAAAAAATACTAAAGGGAATACAAAAATGTCTGTATGTGTAACATTTTGTTCATGTTTATGTAAATTATGCAAATGTGCTTATATAAGGGTCTTCCATTCCCCGCACCTACCCTATCTAAATTTGAACCAAACACGATGAAAGATTATGCAGCACAACTGCAATTGTTGCCCCCAAAAAGCATTTAATATGATTTCAACGTGACATAGATTTAAGAAATTGGCATTTGGCTGGCACATATATTTTATTAAAATTAATATGTTTATAGAGGGCGCTATTTCAAAATATGCAAATAAGCTGGTCATCTATGGCCATGCAACATCACAAAACATTTTGTTAGTGATGGTCCTAGAGAGATACAGACATTTGGCTGCCAAAAATTGTAGAAAAAATCCTTATTATATATTTATTATTCATTTTTAAAGGAAAATCATGTACTTTGGCGGCCATTTTGTATGACGTCATATATCTTAAATTGCTCAAGGCTGACAGAGTGTCAGCAATCGGATTCTTGAAATAGAAGGTCTAGGCAATCAAAATCCATTGAAAAAAAAACTATAGACCCTAAAACACGGTTAGGCCAATAATCTGCATTTGGCTGCCGGACTATAACACATACATGTATGTAAGCAAAACATTGACAAATCTTTTTAAAAGTAAAACTATAAAAAAGTACCCCCAGTCCTGTAAGTAATAAGAAATAGGTGAATCCTAATTTATGTACATCTCAAGAATGAGACATTTCAGATGTATTTTCAAATTGTGTATGTTTTAGGTTATAATACTACTGTAGTAACAATCATCCTTTACCACTATTTGTATTAGGAGGCTGTTTCAAACGACAACATTTTGAAATGCTCTTAAATAATAATTTATTTATTTATTTACTTGATGACCGATTGATGAATGGATGGATTGATAGGTTGGTTGGTTGGTTGGTTGGTTGGTTGGTTGGTTGGTTGGTTGGTTGGTTGGTTGATAGATCTTAACTCTTGCTGTGCCGATATCACAGGTGACAAACAGTATACAGTGTAGGTTAAACATGTACCGTATTTACCGGCGATACGGCCGCAGCGCCGCACCCCCAACTTTGACATTTCGTAGAGGGAAAATAAAAACGGACAGCCCATTTATATTTTACACTAGCTTATACATTTTGTATGTATGCATACATTTGAGGAAGATACTACCAGTGGTGGATCCAGGGGGGGGGGGGGGCTCAGGGGGCATGTACCCCCCCCCCCCTGGCCAAAACAAAAATGTTGAAATCACCCCCAAATTCGCCCAAAATGTACTGGCAAACAGGGACGTGCCCCCCCTCCCCCGGGCCCCCAAAAATAAAAAATAAAATAAATTAGTCCGCACTCCTCCCCCACCCGCCCCACTGAGCGAATTTGCGGCCAGCGCGATTTTCAAATATTTGGGAGCAAAAAACAAAAAAAATAAATGTGCTCTTACCAATCCCCCCCCCCCCCGCTTATTTTTTGGGACCAATACAAAAATATTTATATGTCCTCTCACCCCTCGTGTGTACCCCCCCCCCCCGGGAAGAAATTCCTGGATCCGTCCCTGACTATATGTTTAGGATCATGAAATAAGTTATTAATGTAATGTCTTATTCTTTTATAGATGTATGTACTTTCTACATAGATTAGTTACGTGTACTAAGTGCCCTTTTTAAAATGTATTTTCAAATGAAAATCCATATTTCCCATAAATTTTTAGAGGAACATTTTAATTTGCTTGATTTTATCAACTTTATGATCATATGATCGATAATTAGTTGAAATTTGCAAACTATGTGTTAACAATCAAATAGTGTAACGTCCGAAACACCCTTCTTGAGCTTACACAAAATTATTGGATTTGAAAGACCTGATTTGTGTCTTGACTTATGTTAAGACTAAAAATTACATATTTCATAATGATTTATTCACTCCAGATACCCTCAAATATGGATTATCATCATTTATTTGGTATTTTTTGTTTCGGACGTTACATTTGTTTCGGACGTTACAACTGTTAACGGAAAATTGGTTTTAACTATAAAATAGTATTGTAATAATGTATTGCAAATTTCTTTTTCGGGGTGGGTAGCCTCCGTGAAATGTTTAACAAATGTTACAAGAAAAAGGTCGTGCAGTTCATATATTTTCTGCTACTTCAAATTGAAAGTTGTTTCGGACGTTACAAAATTGTTTACGGAAAATGAGACAACTTTTTCAAATTTTGAGTATATTTCTAGTATAAGCGCTACTACAATTAAATTATATTTTCTTTTAATTTAATGACTTGGAGTAACTAATAAGCTTATTCAAACCATAAACAATCTCATTAATTTATTGTTCTAGTGGGTTAAATTAGGGTCTACATTGTTAACGGAAGATGTAACGTCCGAAACACCATTTTCAATTGCACTGTTCCATCAAAATACAGGAGTTAATTCAGATTACTGTCAACTTTCTTTAAGATCCACCCATGCTCATTAATCATCAATAGAAAAAAAAACATATTGTTAGTGGGTATATATTTTTTTCGGCTCCAACCAAAAAGGTATGTCAATTTTGTTACAAAATTCCGTAAACAATTGGCTGTTCAGGGATAGCTGATGCACATAAAGCAATGTTGAAAATTTTTCATTATGCTATGGGAGGTCAATCTAGGTCCATGCTACAAGAAAAAATTGTAATTGATTTCTAATTCTTTATCTTTGAAAAGTTTCAGGCTCTCAAAGGGCCATTTAGGTATTTGGTCATAGTTAAAAAAAAACAGTGCCGTAAACTAATTTAACCGACAGATTGAAATGAATTACATTTTTCTTCGAGTCAGACTGAGATCCGGTTTCCAGTGCATTAATCTAGGTATTAATCATATATGATATAATTTGTTTTCCTATCATCATTTCTGATTTCTGATTGGGGTCATTTTAAAGTTATTTTCTGCTGGCAAAATAATCCAAGATCAATATGTGGCGGGGGAGCTTGGGTTGGGTTATCTCCCTCACCCTGACGGCTTTTACTAAACACTCCGGTCGCGAAGCGCTGGGCCAATTTATTTTTAATAGTGTCTTCAAATCAGCCCTACTCGCAGAGAAAATCCTATCTAAAATTAGCGACTGTTTTCAACCATTTTTCAATAGGGGTGCGTGGGGAAATTTATTATAAAAAAGTTATAAGTTGCGATTGTTTATTTTAATGATAGAAAAATAAGAAGACAAGAATTAAGGCTGACATCAGGAAAAACCAAATAATAGGTGGATAAAGTGAATTTTAGGGAAAGTGTAATAGACCCTACTACAAAGAAATATGAAGCCTATTAATAGGAAAAATGGAAAGAGTGAGAAGATGAATTGTGGGAAATTAACTAAAAAATTATAGAAGAAATGGGAAAAGAGAGAAATGCAGAAACAGAGTATATTATAGGCCTAATGGAAAATTGTGGTAGAATGCACCAGAATAATTAACAATTAACATAAAGATGAGGAAGATGAATTGCAGAAAATAAAGAATTACTTTGTAGGCCTAGCAGAAAAGAGGAATAAAGGGGGAAATGCAGGGAGAGAAAGAATTAAAGATGTGGAAGGACGATTCAGAAAAATGGAATAAGAAAACAAAAGATGATAAGGGAAACCAACAAAGAATATCGTGATGATTACATGATGGAATTTAACAAAAATTGAAGATGAAATCAAAGGACAAACATTAATAAAAACAGAGAAACTACGACAGAGGGCAGAAATACAATTAAGAAGTTATAGCAGAAGATATTTAAGAAATGGATGGTAGAAGAATCAAAGATAAAGATATATATGAATAAAGGATGATAGAAGAGATGAAAAGAGGAAAAATGCGAGGCATGTATGTGACGAGAGGATTCAAGAAAGATTTAAATGGTAAACGATACATAGACCCTTCTATTGTCGATAATTTCAACTATCCTCATCAATAAATTTCCCCCTTACAAAGCAGATTTGGAGACACGATTCACACAAATAGTGGCCCAGCGAGCCGTGACCTGGGTGTTTTCCAGCGCACCGCGACCCGAGTGTTTGATAAAAGCAACCGACTGTGCCCGTGTTTAATCCTTAGTGTCGTTTGGATTTAGACCTCAATATTTTAACATTGAACCTTGTGTACGAGACATGCTCAGGGGCGGGGGGGGGGGGGGGGGGGTTGTTTGACCCATGACGATGCGGAGTAACGTCCACGAGCGGGCAGGCGATTTTTGTTTTGTTGCTATTTTGAACCCCCATATGTGATGTTGTCCTGGCATCTACTAACATGCGGAACATTGTCCACGAGCCGTATAGCGGCGAGGCTATTTTTTTTTGTTTTTTTGTTGTTGACGTTTTTCTATACACATCACATTTTCACTTGGCAGCCCAAGGGGGGGGGTGTAAACGTAACCCTAACCCCTCGTAGATCCGCCCCTGATGCTCCTCGAACTTAATTTTCAACACTTACCGAATTCCCAACTTCAATCCTAAATAACATTGACATAACCCCAATCCTAAATCCAAACCCAAGATAAAAACCTATTGCTACCCTAAGCCTACACTTCCGACAAATTAGAGCCCAGAGCAATTGTCGGATCACCGAGTTATTTCTGCTTTTATATTCTACTACAGAATGGGCAGTGCGACTTGTCGACGGTGAAGACAATGTGTTGCCATTTGAAGGAAGAGTCCAGGTCTTTCTTAACGGATCCTGGGGAAATATCTGCTTATACAATTGGGATCTCCGTGATACTGAGGTAGCCTGCCGCAGTCTGGGCTTCAGCGGCTCATATCTGGCGAGCAATGTTGACAGCTATAAGCGAACACTAACACACGTTCTATTTGATGTCCGATGTTCGGGGAACGAGTCCTCTCTCGAGGAATGTCCGCACAGTTTCGCTGACGAATTCAATGAGTGCAAATTTCCTATAGGGGCGATAGCTACATGTACAAATTCAACAAGTAAGACGGGTTGCATCACTTTCATTTGATCATGTTCAGTATGGACTCTTTATTAGTAGAAACTGGTTTGTTTATTTAGAAGTGAGATTATTTTGAAATTGTTTTGATAAATAGAGAAAGAATCTCGGTACACATACGTGTATACTTTACTGGTGCTTGTAAGCAATCTTTCAAGCACTATTATACTTTCATTTAACCCACTCAAGAATGCAATTTCCCCGTTAGTTTTTCCATCAGACGAATTATACCTTTTACTAACCACCGCAAACAATGGCTTTATGTGCCTTCCTTGATAGAAATGATAATTAAACCTATTGTTCCATCACGTTCATTACGGTCAACTACACATGCTAATTTCCAATACGCCCCTGGTCCCCGAACCAATACCCGTTACGGAGATCGTACTTTTGCCATTGCAGCCCCTAAATTATGGAACAGTTTACCAATTATTATTCGTCAATCCCCATCTGTAGAGTCTTTTAAGGCAAGTTTGAAGTATTTTTTGTTCACCGGTAATAGTAATTTATAGGGCAGTTTTAATTATCTGTAATGTTATTATTAAAATTATGTATTATTATTGCTGTATGTTTATTTTACGTTGTACCTAATTACTTGTATTTAAGCGCTTAGAAACATTGTATTAAGCACTTTATAAATGAATTTATTATTATTATTATTATTACTACAATATCAAGGAGCACCCCATTCACCCCCTCCTCGATGGCTAAGAATAAATGGGTTTGTAGTTTGTTTTGAGTTGGTTTGTCGATGTGACTGATGTATGAATCTCTCTTGCTGTAGGCCTATTCCAACATATCATGATATGATTGTGGCAGTAATGTTTATTCTTTATAGGCAAAATGTATATCTTCTCAGAAATGTATTGATCAATCTCTATGACTCTATGACTTTAGATTGATCAAGAAAGTTCGCAGAACTCATACACTTATCCATCAAGAATAAACCATATTATCTAAATCATTTTATTAGGACACAAAATTTTTGTATAGAATGGGCTACAGTGAATATTGATGTAACCATTTCAATATTACCCAATAGTTCGTCTGACTGGTAGCCATTATCCTTGGGAGGGTATCGTAGAGGTGTTCTACCATGGCTCTTGGAGATCAGTATGTGATGATCGCTGGGACATCAGCAGCGGACATGTTGTCTGCAGATACCTGGGAATAGGTACAGCTCTGGATACCGGCCAACATGCTACTACTTCCAAGGGAGCCTCAGAATATATCTTAAATGGCATAAGTTGCAATGGCAATGAATCCAGTATACTTGAATGTTCGTGGACAAGGCTTCGTAATCACCAGTGCAATTCGACCCGTATCGCCATGGTCCGATGTTCAACTGGGAGTGAGTCACTATCATTCATTCTTGTGGTAAAAATTGTAGTTGACATTTACAGGCAAGTCCAAGATATTTGGCCTTTTGATATCATTCATAGTTTGCATGACATATTCCAACTCTGTACAAAGTCATGTTGATAGTCGTCCTTTCTAATTTGGAGTAACGTGTTATGTGTATCATATCTACAATGCAACTATAACCTTTGAGAATTATACAAGGTATTAACATTTACCGAAATTCCTGCGTCATACTTTCCATCCTAGTTCGTCTGGTCGGAGGAAGGAATAGCAGTGAAGGGAGAGTAGAGGTTTTCGCAAAGTCAACCTGGGGAACAACCTGTGGGAAAGACTGGACCCTCAACAATGCACACGTCATTTGCAAAAGTTTAGGATTCGCTGGTGCATTGAAGGTATTTGCTAAACCTGAATTCGGATATGGTATAAATAACATACATTTATCGGATGCACATTGCACGGGGAGAGAAAACAACATCTTCGACTGCCTAGATACACAATCCGAAACACTGGACTTTTGCATCTACGACGGTGCTGGCATTCAGTGTTCAGAAGAAGGTAAATATTTTACAGAATAAAACTGATGTTAACTGGTAGGCTGTGTAGTATAACATTAATTGTACGGCAGTATTTACTATGCCACGTATTACTAAACTATATTACTGAATTACTATATGTCATCCATTATTACACGGCATCAGTACTCTACCATATGTCGTATTTGTCTCCTTCATTCCACCCTGAGACGAAGTCATCTATCTGACTGATGGAACCAGCATCTTGGATGGCGTAGTCGTGTACTACTACAACGGCCAGCAGAGATCTGTCTGTAGTTACTCTTGGGACATGAACGATGCTGACGTTGCCTGCAGAAGTCTGGGATTGGGACGTGCGCAAAGCATTACTACATCTCATATTTCAGATGGCAGTCATGTTGAGGTCACGCTCGATCGTGTAGAGTGCACGGGGAATGAATCTCGATTATTCAACTGTCCTGGGGTAGGAGTTGGATCTCATGAGAACTGCAATACGTCCGAGGTTTCTCGAGTCACATGTTCTGGAGGTATGTACATGATTTACGAGCTTATCCGCCCACACTAAAACAAAATGCATATGCATTTGAGGAACAACTGCAGAATACCACCGTAACCCTAACCCTGACGCTTACGGTATTGCCTATATATCCCAGACAGTAACCCTATCCACAATTCCGACCCGTCTCCAGATACCCTAATCGTAACCCTAACCTTAACCCTTATCCTGACCTTGCATGATCACGACCCTAGCCTTACGTTAACCGTATACATTGTATGGAACCGTGGTTGTGTATTCTGCGATCAAAACCGCAACTGAATTCATACTTATAGGTATATACAATAAAATACAATACAATACAGTCATTTCTATAGCGCTCTTACAAACTAACTGTTTTTTCACAGCACTTTACATAAAAAATATAAAAGTTGTTGATTATCAAAAAGGAGAGTTTTGAGACATTTTCGGAAGACATCCAGCGAAGTCGATAATCGAATAAAACATGAAAGCTATTCCAGAGTCGAGGAGCACATGCATGGAAAGCGTTGACGCCAGCTTTGGTGTATGTTCGAGGAACGTGTAGCAGGGTGATGTCAGTACATGAGCGAAGGCAAGGACGAACAGATTGGTGGGGTACGATGAGACAGGTGATCATAAAATTGTATTAGAGAGCGTTGATTGATTAAGGAGTATCTTCACTGATTTTCTATCATCACATTCTAGATCAGGGTATGGATTGAGTCTCTGATATCTTATTCATTTACAACACATTTTCCGATATTTACGCATTAACAATTCGCACTATTGATCACGTACTTCATGTATTTAAGAAACATGGCAAACGTTGGGGAAAATCTGTGAGTAAAAATCGTGGATTATATCTTTTATTGCAGGAAACGCGTGCGTTTTAGGTTTGTGTCCTCTTGGAATGGATACCCGAGGTATGAGAGTATTGATTTTTGTAATGGTTTCGATAATAGTAATAATGATAATAACAAAATTATAATAGTAATACTCTTCTACTACCAATAATAATAATAATGATAATAATTGTTTTATTATTAGTGCTCCTATGGTATCGTAATCAAAATGCTGATACCAAAAAATGTAATTACAAAAAGACATAATTAATATGGCACCTAGCAGCAAACGTAGTAATGTTCTATATACACAGACTGGACATATATTCAACCTTAAAGAAATAAATATAACAGGAGCAACGGAATAGACATATAGAGACAGTGTGTGACAGATATGGACGCCAGCAAAATACAAATGGTTTATAATTTTTCTATTGTTAATCAACAAGGCGTTGGTAGTAGGTTAATGGCTATACATTTCACTGGAGTGAAAACAGTTGTGATTCACATTATATATTGGTGTGATAATAGGGTAATGCTGCCATCTTTTCTTTATCAAATAGGACCCGTATGTACCTACGTAAGAGAATCAGGTAAGAGGAAGCATACCAATTTTAGTTGCTAAATGAAGTCTAGATCATTGATGTCATTGTTGTCATTGGTGTCATTGTCTAGATCTAGATGTCATTGTTTGTTTTCGTTTTTGTTTAACACAAAGGTCTTCTTTCTTTACTGATAGGGACAGGATTTGACTTTGCCATTCAGTATATCCCATTCCCAGATATATTTGAAATGTTTCATGTACAGTCATCAATTGTATTCATGATAAAAATTTAAAACTCCTGCCTGCCGTAAAATAATTCAACCGTCTTTAAGGTACGATGTCCCATTTGCAGGCCAAACAAATGAAAATGTTAAATTTCAACTGCATTTTAAAGATAATAATAATTCAGAACTTCCCTCAAAACGAAAGGGCATGAAATTGTCTTTTTGTGGGAAAATAACCAATGTTACTTGTGAAATCGAATATAAGAATTGCAATCATTTTAGTAAATAGTCTGATTTTCAGACACTTGTATCGAATGGTCAAACGTTTTGTGCTGCGCAACGATTCAATCAGTTCAATTTTGGCCATTACAAGAAGTGGGTTATTGATGAAGACAAATGCTCATGTAGCCTTTACAGCTCATTCTAAGTATACAAAAAAAGAAATCGGTCAGTCACTCAATAGTGTCTGACAGTGAAGTCTAGAAAGTGAACGGTTTCCTTGCGTAATTCAAATACAGATATACGTGACAAATTCATAATTTCTGCACAGTTCTACAGAATTTGATGTGAGCTGCAAATGGGACATAGTACCTTTAACGATGCTTAATTGAAGTGATATTCCAATTCAATATATCATCTTGTAGACTGAGACTCACTTGTCAAACATTTCACTGTCCTTATTGTGCATGTAGATCAATGTGCTCAATATGAAAACGACAACACTGGACATGGACCTTTTGGCTTACAATGTCTGTGAGTATACTCAACATATTATGGTCTCGTAGAATCGTGAGATAGACTGCTCTTGCGTTGTAGAGATATCAAACTTGGGGTAATTTACCAATGTGTGGCTTTTTACATTCAGGGGCGGATCTAGCTTTTTGCTAAGGGGGTGGTTGACCAAAATAATGACGATGTGGAGCATCGTCCACGAGCCGCAAAGCGGCGAGCCGATTTTTTTGGGGGTGTTTATTTGAACCCCGTAAGTGATGTTTTCCTGGCATCTATTAACACAATGGAGACCATAAAAAGCAGTGCATGATAACGTCTTTTTAAATTAAGTAACAGTTAAATACACAGTTATATCCAGAGTTATCATGTGTTTGGTTAAGTTACCAGATGAGTTGAAAATCTTCTCACAATATTTGCACTTGAAAGGGTTTCTCTCCAGCGTGCGTTCTTTTTTCTTTCTTTTTTTTTCTCACTTCGGCGGTGGCCCGTGTCCTCAAAAAAGCTGATGGGGGGGGGGGGGGGGCAAGGGACTCTGTGACATTTGTTCGCCCAACCCCCCCCCCCCTTCCCCCAAAAAAAGAAATAATAATAATAATAATAATAATAATAATAATAATAAATGAAATAAATACATAGAAATAGAATAAAATAAAATTACAAGTTTAAAAAAAAGATAAGATTTAAAAAAATGGTCCCCAGATTTTTTTTTGGGGGGGTTGCAACCCCCCCAACCCCCCCTCTAGATCCGCTTCTGTTTAACATACTATCTTGCACCTACCTGCGGTATTATAAACCGTTTGCATTCAAGAACAATTCAACATTTTGTGAGTGAGTATATGGTACTACACGCATGTGGCGTAAATGTTTGGTCCAACATAGTACTAAAATAGCATTTGCAAAGCAATTTTTTCGGGGAACATTTCTCCTATGATATTCTTCTAGCTGACGTACTAATGACTAGAAATCACACACGTTATTATAAACTTTAAAAAGAAAATCAACCTTTTTTTTACGTAATCATCAAATAATTGTTTTCTTCTTCATAAGATCATCAGTAGAGGAGGCATCATCTAATTTCTCATTTGGACAAATCCTGGAGTGTCAGAGGGAAATAAAAATCGTGTAAGTTCAGTAGTCATTATATTTCTGCTTAAGTCCTGTTAATTTCCTAATCTTAATTAAGAATCAGTTGGTAGAATTATGGTAGGTGATTATCCTAGTGATTAGTTGTCCGAGAAGGGTATTGTCACGAAGGGGGGGGGGGGTGTCCAGATAGGGTGAGAAGGGGAGGTGTGGCATTTTGTTCCATATGGCAATGGACTGTGGATCACAAGGTAATGGTTCTTTGGCAAGATATTATTTTATATTTGTACCTCTCCTGACTTAATCTACCTGGATTGAGGGATCACTTCGTAAGCAACAAAAACATTCACTGGCATGATTTGGCAATGTTCTAGTCATCCTCCTGAAGACGATGGGGAGATATTGATCGAAACCTTGAGGTGGAGAATGTGCGTACACCATGTGCGGGTAAGCCTGAATCCGATGACCGGGGTAATAATATATTTGTTAAGCGCTTAGAGACATCATCGATGTATTAAGCGCTATATAAAGTGGAATAGTATTATTCTTACTAAACCTAATTTTGTATAAGGTTATTTGCACTAGCCTTTTTGCCCTTATTTCTTGTGCATATTCAGTAAATTCTTTTAACTAGTTTTGTTGTTGTCATATGCAGTATTCTCAGAAGGAGCAACGTCACTTTGTTGGCACAGGCGGCTTTCTCTGAAATGAAGAATCTAGTATATTTGTGAGTTGTTATTCTCTCTACTTAAAGATAAAGTTGAGTTTTGGTCATGCGATTGCAATATGAAAGAAACAATGTGGAATCAAGCACAAAAAGTTGATTATCTAGTATATAAGTATTGGTGTGCACTGTCAGGTTCTGGAATCATCAAAATTAGACGGAATTTGGCCCAGTCTTAGTAAAGTTACAAAAACTGTACACAGAGAGATGTTTATGGGACTAAACGAACATGTCGCATAATAATCCGTCCAGATTTGTATGATGTTACATGTCATATTTAGAATATTAAGGCACTTGAAGAGCCATGCTTTTCAGGGAACATTTTTAATCTGATGTTCTTCCACACTTGTATAATAACAATGATAACGCTCACAAATTATTGTTTACCTCTTCCCAGAACTCAACCTTCTCTTTAAATCATATAATAAGAAAACCAACTGAATTCAAATTTAGATTTCGATTGTAATTTTGACAGAAACATCTCAGGGAAAATTTCAAAAATATATTATTTATTATTGACCTTGTAGGGCAAAATCCAATATGGAATTTATTTCTGGTGTGGACGAAAAAAAGAAAGAAGCAGATTCTATTTTGACAACAGATTTGAATACTACTACTTACGTTAGATATTTCTAAGAAGTTCTTATTTAATGAAAAAAAATCTTATTTAGGAGATAGAAAATAATTACAAATATATAGAAAAAATATAGTTCGTAGTATAGTAGTAGCAGTAGAAGTAGTAGAAGAAGTAGTAATAGTAGTATAATCATTAATACTATTTTTATTATTATTATTATTATTATTATCATCATTATCATTATAACAATATTATTTATGATACTACCTTTTACTAAATTAATAATCACTTTTATCATTCTTTTTGTTTTGTTACTACTATC